GGGCACTACCGCTTCCTTGCTTTATAACTCCGTTCGAAAAAATCGGGAAGGCAGTTTTGAGCCCAGGCGTCTCGTCGCCAGTGAAAGGGTGTAGAGCTTACTACAAATGGCCTGATTGTCCTTTTGACTTCCCTGGTCAGATGCGTGACGCATCCTGCTACAATTATTTACGCACCATGTTGAACTACAGCACCACTTTATTAAAGCCACGAGTCAGGATTAGGTGACCATAGAAGGCCTTTCCATCACTAATATTTCCAGGAATGCGCTCAGAGGGGTGATGCCACACTCCTGACTCGAGATTGCGCGCCGTCAAGGCCTCTGGCCTACTACTTACAGCGATGGGTTCGTTTCATCAGCTGGTCCCGCCCACCGCGGGATGTGGTGCGTGGCTGGCCTAACGTGTGAGATCAGCTAGGTTGATTGCCGTATCAACCGATGGAACGGCTGGCATATCCGGAAAACTCGTTTGGACGTGGCTCTCCCCCGAGCAAGCCTCCTTCACTGCTAGAAGGGAAGGGGTTTCGATTTCGGTCCTTGTCGACGGTTTCTTTGCGTTTTTTCTTCACTGTCGTTCCACCTCCCATCTCTACACTCAATTTCAGGCGCCATAATGCCCAAACACGAGCCTGACTTTTGCCTTTAATGCACTTTTATTTGATAACATTAGCTACACAAACTATTATTGGTGATATCTAATTGATGGAGCTCTAATATCTCAAAAGAGAAAAGGTGAAATGTGCATCACAATAGGAATAAAGTGTTCCCTGCACATTGAGATCTGCATGACAAACGGTCGTTTGCCTGGTTTAACTCTGCCAGAAGGATGGCAAACGGAAGTTCTGAAGTAGGGTTTGGACAACAACGGATGGATTTTGAAAAATCCTAAACCAGAACGAGTTTTGTTTCTTTGGGAACCCCGAATCGAGTCTTGTGCTGTTCGAACAGAGCTGTAAGGGCTTCGCAGTACTGATGATGAACGCGGTCCACTTCCTCAGTGGATGGATCGAGCATCTTGCGTACGGCTATTGGTGCTCCAACGACTGTGTCAATTGGTGTTCGACGAGGCAAAAAGCCGAAGTCCATCTGAAATTTTGAATTTTAGAAAGTACGCTGAAAGTAGATGGGAGACATCGTCATCATTGCTCCAAAAAATCCTACGATAGACGAGAAATTTAAATTTCACCTGAAACAAGCCCCTTCCGTAAAAGAACGGCGTGGAAATTCCGAGCACACCCTTTGACCACGTCTGCAACCTGCGCACAAGTGAACCCTTTGGATTATCGATCTGAATGTTCAATTTAATTCCATTATACAACCTTACAAACAGAAGTAGTGAAAAAGTGCGGTCTCTCGCAGTTATCACTGGTGGTAAAGATCATTCTCTCCGAACGAGTATACAGGAACCAATGAGGCCCCGTTCCGTAGCGCCTGTTTCACGAATCCCTTCCGGGACAGCAACTTCAGTTTGTGAACACCCGGACGTGCTTCGAGTGCTTCTTCGGCTCCGCCTAATTTGTACAACTTATTACTGGTAATAATATTGGTCACATTGAAATACCCCACATCTGCTCGAATCTCGAATCATCTGCTTGAATCATTATGAGTATTCAAAATATTTTATAGTTATTGCTCTATTTTTATCTGATCAGGGAATGCTTCCAGCTCCCCACCAAACCTTGAATAGAGAGCCAGACGAATCGCTGGAGTAATGAATGCTCATAAAAAGATTAATCTGCCGTTGATCAATCCCTTTTTGGGATGCGGCACGCATTCTACTTCCATTTGTACATTCGCAGTGGCGTTTGAATGCGATGTGGCCTATACAATGACTTGCGGGGGCCAGCCGATGTACAAGTCAGTGTTTTTATCCTCCCAGACAAGTCTGGTACCAATTAACCGACCCCGGAGGGATGGAAGGCTTGGTTGGCCCGGGCGACTCACGACCCAGGATTTGATCCCCGGACCGCTCGCGTGGTAAGCGTGCCACTTGCCACTACACCACTTCCGCCCTACTCACAGACATGTGAACCAAAACTGCTACGCGACCTTCTAGGCAAGTTGTGAGCGGTCAAAGTTGGCAAGAAATGCAGTAAAAAGTGAGTTGCGGCACCAAACTGGCGCCAGATCGCCTCTGTCTCAAAAATGAATGTCATATTCGTGACCAGGCCATCTGTTTACCCCTATAGGTACTGTTTCAGGAAAACTAAAAAGCCGATGCGGCTAGATTAGCTCGCCTCCTATACTGACGCTACCCTTCCTGTCAACTTTGACCGCCCACGATTTGCTTGGAATGTTCACGTAGCAGTTTTGGTACCAATATTTGTAACTAGCATTCATTACTCTATTGATTCATCCCAATGAGGTAGCGGCATGTAAAGCCGCTATAGCACATAAGGACCGAGTATTGAACCCTGAATCCCAAGTTCGCCGAGCCAAGCTGGTTTTTTGACCTTTGGAATTCCGGTGCAAACTGACCTTGGCGTACACGCACTGGTCCCTATATCGGCTAGTCGAAGCATTTCCGCTTTTAGCAAAAACGCTTTCAACTATCAGTGAAGTTCTCAATTTAACACGACAATTTCTGCTACAAAGGGATTGGTCAGCGCCTCCGCTTAAGGAGGAATTCACGATAAGAACGAAGGTCAAAGAAGGGGAAAATTGCATAGTTGGGAGACAGGCGGACCTCCTGAGGGTGCTGACCGACGCGCAATTGGCAGCGAAAGATTTGACCTCGGCGATCTAGCATGGCTCACTCTTGGCGCGGTTGGCGGGGTACGCCCACCGACTATCTAATCACTCGCCGCAGGTCTATACGTGGCGAGTGATTAGATAGCAGAGAGAGCGTAGTGTTGAAGAGGGCACAGCGATGAGAGTCGCATCAATGCGCAAATCAACGGGCAAGGAAGGGGTCATTTCTCGGGTTTCGGGTTTCTTCTTCATCCCTGCTCCACTGACCACCTCTACCCTTATTTCCAATGAGCTAACTTTTCATCGAAAATACTGCCTTTAAGTCCCGCTTGATCACGTCCCCCCACCTCTCCATTTGAGCTAATTTCGGTCGCTTGCCTTGCTCTTCTGAGTCTATCCTTTTCCTGATCCGATGATCCTACGTCCTCCTTAGCACGTGTGTATACTTTCGCAGCCTTGTTCCCCCATACAACCACAGCTGAGAGGGAAACTCCGTCCGCCCCGTCCAATTATAGATCAACGGCAATAGCCCTTGACTGCAACGGCTCAATCACGCAGTGCGCTTTATCCTTCTTATTTCAGTCCACCTTTGCCAGTTCTGCTTTGTGTTCATTTAAACCGGTTGCAAGCAGCAAAACTGACAATAACGTCGACGGAAGAACATTTTACCTACATGTGAGAGACAAGTTAGGCGACCCTCCTCCGGTGCTATGTCGACGCTCAATCCGCATGCAGAGTAATACGCCCCCGAACCGCTACGCCTTGCTTCTCCGCCGCAACAATTGCGCGTCATTGCCCGGTAACTGCCCCTCTGTCCACCTCCGTCTCGCGTCTCTGTTTCCAAGCCGCTTCACCGGCAGAGGGGCCGTTTGGCGTTGAACGTGGCAGCATCCGATGAGGGTCCACAGTCGGAAAAAGGTGCACCGCGCTGGCCGTTTTGCGCAATTTTCGCACGGGCCCACGTCGTTTGAAGTAGATTTTCCTTCCCCAACAGCCAAACGCATGCTGTATGGGCGGAGACGCAGACGGCTCGAGCATGCGAGTGTGAATGTTCGCGCGAGAGAACGTGTCTAATCGGGCGAAACTGCGCAACGTGGCCGTTGAGAACTGCGCAACGCAGGGTTGACTCTGGTCGGGAAGGCCGAAAAAACCAAAAAACGAAGCAAAAAGCGTCCCCATTTTCTCGGGTTTTGAGGCCCACCTTTTCTCCAATTTTTTCCTTTCCCTTGCCTGCGCCTGAAACCATCTCTAACTTAATTTATAATAGACCGCAACTTCTTCGTAAAATCTGTTTAGAGTAAGCTGCAACTGCTCACCTATAGCAATTATCACAGCTCGTCCACCTTTCTGCTCTGTGAGAGCGTGTCCAATACTTTCCTTGGAACAATCAATAAATCCACCCAGCAGAAGTAGTTCCCTCCTGAACATATTCAGAGATCAATACGGCTGGGATGTCGGCTTATCGAGCTTCAAAATACTCACGTGAACATAACGCTGAAATTTGACGCTAGGGTACAGATCGAAAATCGTAGTCCTGGGAACTAAACTCACATAGTTCGCAAATTTGACATTCTCAAAAAAACGCTAAGGCTTGGTCACCAAATCACACTTACCACCTTTACTTTTCTCGGTACCTTCAGAGGCAAAATTGGAGGAGATTCCCATGCAAATTATGCCATGTGGATGACATCCAACAATGTAATTCTGAAGCAATCAATAAATCAATAAAGATCCCTAGTAAAATTAGGCAATACATCATACCTGATCAAGTGGCAGCTCGGCGGTTTTGTGAAGAGTTACTGGAAAGTACTTGGCAAACCATTTGTAATATCTCCATCTGAAGGGCAACGGATTTTTGGACATTTTTGAGCTTCAGAAAGGACACGCAAAATCGACTCCACAAACCTTTGCGGAAAGTTGTTACGGTAGCCGCCGCTCTGAGGCGATTTCCGATCATACAGATACCATAAAGTGTATAGGGCCAGAATTTGCCATTGCCATGTGAAGATCTGCAGATTAGCGATTTTGGAGTACGGTATAAGGGTGGCATAAAGCATAAGGATTCGATGCTAATTAGTTTTCTTCGGGATGCGCAAAGAACTCAACTCCCACTCGGAATCGCAATAGAATTTGAATACGCTTTGCCTCTTACAATGATTCTTCAGAGCCAGCTGTCGCCCAGCTGTGCGTTTTAACCTCGCAAACGTGTCTGGTACCAGGTCAACCCTATGTTGTTACTAGTAACAACGGGGGGTCGTACTTGGTTGAGTTTGTAGGAGGGGGTCGTACCCGTGGTTGAGTTTGTAGGAGGGGGGTCGTACCCGTTTCAGTCGCTTGAAATCACATGTGAGTTTGAGGTGAAACTGAAGTTTTCATGGGTAGGTAGGCTGGGTGAGTTGAGGGGCGCAGGAAAAAAATTTGCCGTTTCAGCGCGCGTATATACCCCCGCTCGACGGCATTTTTGGAGGAAAAAGTGGGCGGAGTTTGGTGGGTTGGTATCAGAATTAAATACTATAGAGACGATGATGGTGGTCGGTGTGGAAAAGGGGGTCGTATCAAATCCACCTTGGGGAGGGGGTCGTAAAAATTTTTCAAAAAGTAACAACGATAGGGTTGACCCTGCTGGTACCAATGAGACAACAGCATCGGAAGGATAGAATGCTCTATTGACCCAGGATTTTGGTTGAGTTTTGATCCCTGGTCCAGCGAAGCGATCGTGACTGCTATATCACTCGAGATCCTTTAGACTTGAGGAAGCGCAGAGGTCAAATGATGTGGTAGAGCGTACAGTTTACGGTAGCAGGCAACAACTCTGAAAGAGCTATTATCGAAGTCTCATCGTAGATAACGGCCTCCCGCAAGATATGAGAATTGGAACCAATCTCGCACACAAGCTTCAGCAGAAAGCAATGTCGTCAAGATACGCTACGCCCTCAGCGTTCAACGCTCAGCATTCTCCATAAGCCGTAGGCTGCTTCCCCGAAGCTAGGTGATGCAAAGTTCCCTTTAAATTTATTTGCTTTGAACGATGTAGTTTCTTCATTTTCAATGCATGTTTACTACATACATACATTTAATGTAGGCCTTTTATCAGGGTAATCCCAGTTGGGAAGACAGAGAAAATTTAAAGGAATTTTCGTCCCCTAACCCCTTCGGGGAGGATAGCATACGGCCTCATGTGCTTCTTGCAAGTCAATTCATGATCAATTCAGCTTTTTCATGCGATATCGATTTCAAGGAACACTGAACTGAATGGCTGTCGTGGTCCCAAGGGCACAGCCCTGGCCGGAGTCGCGTGAACGATTTTCTTCGGTGTGTAGGATAGACCGCTAGTGAATAATCAGATATGGCTCGTGCACCTACATAGATCACCCGACAACAGCACTAGGGCCACGCAAAGTGAGCTGCACTAGCTGCAACTTTTCCCTTATCAAGCTGCTGTCTGGCACCGTCTCATCTGTTGCACTCTCTCGCCCCATGCTCTCCTTAAAGCAGAGCTTTGAAAGCTGAACCACACCAATTTGAGGACATGCCCCAGGATCGAACTGGTGTGGTCCTTTCAAGCTTTTGGATATATGCGATAAACCCTGAAGGAATCTGGGCGGAGGCCCTGCTTTCCAATGAAAGCATAGCTTGATTTTGAAAAGCATTTCTCATAATTAATAGTACATATTTTTTCAGCAGGAATATTAGTAAATCTTAAGAAATTCACCAAGATGAATGGCAGAATGGTGCAGAATATGGTCAGAGGAATGGTAAGCGTGAAGTGTATGAACACGCCAAGTGTGAACAGCTTCTGCTCCCATGGCTCGGCAAGCGGCGAAAAGTCAATGCCAAGGAATCGTCGCATTCTGAAAACATTCTGACTGCGTGTATATTTCTTTGGCTTTATTTACTTTATTTTGTCGACTTATCAACATTTTATTTGTTCATTACTAATCGATTATTAGAAAACAAGAAAATTGCAACTTCGAATTGTAAGGAGGGTTGAACTGGTTCTACTTCTTCTGTATGAAATATCCCAAACCATCGGCAATGGCTTCATTATCGTATGTACAAGTACTTAAAAAAAGAAGGAAATGGCAAGG